TTTCTGTTTTTAACCGCGGTGAGTCCGAAGATGGCTGTCTTTTGGAGCGATCGCCCTGGTGATGGAAGGGCCTCTGCAACGTTGGTAAACTTTTATCAGACTACACGGCGCTATAACCCAAAAGAGAGATAGCTTCGGACTCACCAACGTGGTAACCTCAAATCTTACTTGTCTTTCAATTCACATTTCTTTGAATAAATCTGAGTGAACGGTGGCTGACTAGTGTATCTCTAACAATCATGAATAAACGCTCCCCAGTTCTGTACGTTTCCAGTGCGGTCTTCCACACTAAAGTCCCGTGTGAGAGGACAGAAAGAGAAGGCTTTGAAGTACGGTTTCCTGAACATCAGCTAGGCCATGAAACTGGATCTATGCTCTTCTGAATGTGACAAATAATGAAGCTAATTACAAAACACAGAGTACTCTATTAACGCAATTCAATTTGTCACAATCAGTTTTTAACAGATCACTTTCCAGAGTAACGATATTAAATTCGAAGTGATGTAACAAATTTATGTGTAATTTGACATTTCCCACTGGTCGTTGCCATAGCATTTCTACCGGATGAATTCCACTAAAACCTGCATGACAATATAATCAATCATACCTTAGATCAGCTGTAAACGCAACGGGACCCAGCGGCATTTCACAGACGGCGCAATGTTGCCAAACGTCCGCGCAGATATGGTAGTTACCACGGCAATTATTGACTATGTGAAGTCGATAACTGTATACATTATAGAGATGTGGTATATTAATTACGCTTCAAGTTCGACACTCCATGTGATGAGCCTATCATTTGGTTTGGCCTCATCGAACATCGTACAATACGTCGATGTCGACGGAATGGTTCAACGGACTTCGTATTAATGATGCAATTACAGGGAGGGAACTCTTCAACTATATGACACAGTGTGAATTACTTTTCAATAACAACACAGTGAAACCCAGTAATGAGATATTTGATAGCAGATCGACGAAAACTAGTGCCTCAGGGATTATGGTCAACAAACCGCGCTAACAGTGACAGTTTTTGACAAGTAAATTATTAGTTCACATGAAAATTGTGTATATCAAATCTAAAACTTCTTGACGATGGTGAAGAGTCAATTGAATAAAAATTTACTTGGATATTATCCATCGTCTAGGGATTAGCTCTATCTAGTGGGCCCAACTGTGTAGGAACCTGAAGACGGAGATAGAGTCCCATCTCCGAAACGTCGTTTTACGTTTTATATTTATTAGACGATGGATAATATCCAAGTAAATTTTTATTCAATTGAAAATTGTGTGCTTGTTTTTCTATCGTATCTTTCTAACAAATAAAGTTTCAAAATACCGAGTCTTGGGCATTGCAATTTAATATCGCAAGAAACATAAATCGAAAGATTAAACAGAATAACATAATGATTTGTATATTATATGCGCCCAAATAATTCTGTTATGTCAAGTTAATTAACACAGTAGTATCGCTTTACACTTCGGCTGCACAGGATTCAAATTTATGGCCAGCTATTCTAACAGATTCGTATTTGTTTTCCTCAGTCTTACCAAGCGAATGACAGAAAAATTCTTATCTCATCATTCATGGCTATCTTCAAATCTCAACGCGATTTTAACTCTGCAGTTAAATTATAGAAGTTAATTAATCTTAACATCAATCAATCGGTAAAAATGAAAAAAGAGAGGGCATGTAATCTTTCAGTTCGTAAATAAGATCATCTTTGCTCTATAATTCTTTCCCCATGGCCTGTGGCTCTGTAACGTCAGAACTCTATGCCAGTGGACATCTTTCTGGTTCATTGAGCCTTGTTCGGTCGAGTCAGCTGCCCGACTGACTACACACGCACAAAATTGCTTCACGGAGCTTCTGATGCAATGACACAGGAATGATATAAATATTATATGGTGTCAACATTCACAAATGGTCCCTTACTGCTCTCACAGACATCCAGAATTCTTTACTGGTATTTTTTTAAAATGCACTCAAATGGAATTTAAACAACTACTTTTTATGTCGACTTAATGAAATCCCTTTTTCGCAAGCAGAAATGAGTTACAAGAGGCCTAAGTCCTCGACTGCTAGATGGTGATGACTGTGCCCAAACCATCCTCCTACCTATAAAATGACCGCCCAAACAATTATTGAGCGGAATATTTAATCAAATAATTGCAAACTTGCAGTAAGTTACAACAACTTTGTACTGTGTTCGCATATGCTGTATATCTGACTTAAACAGCTTCCTTACAATCTAGACTTTAATAAAATGTAGTGACAATGAAAACATGAAATCTCTGAATACGTTACTTTTATGCCAGATATCTTTAAAAGGAGATAGCATGACAGTCGTAAATTTCCTTGGGTACAAAAGTACGTCGTTTCTTAAGAACATTGAATTCAGGACGAAATCTCGTTCATGTATTAAAATATCTTTACCACCACGGACAGTAATATCGGAAGCTTCCTAGATTTATTGCGACCAGCGAAGCTGGCAGGAAGGTTAACAGAATCGATGAATGATACTGGAGGAGTTTCTCAGCTGCTTTTCCTGCTGTGCCAGAGGTTCTCATTTCAACTTCTGTGCAATTCAAAAATGTATTTCTCGTGCCGTATAAGAAGCGCTACATATCGTTCAGATGCGACGATTCTTATGAAGTCAAGGAGTCACGTTAACAGTCTGAATGGGTCTGTCCATACCAACTTTAATTATGAACTTCTATATTTATCATTAAAGCTTTCATAAAGACCCTCTGGAAAGTTAATTCTTACAGCATATTAAATCCTTTAGATATTTTGTAATAATCATCTGACACTTAGAACGAGAACAGCAGATTGCGTTTATATTTAATATTCTCCGAGCTAAATTAGAACCCACAATCGTGATCCCAGTCAACAAAAAATTACATGGGGCGGTCATCCACTGTGAACGGCTGAATTTAGAGTCACTAAACTGGCTGGCTTTCGTGAAACTCCCTACAGCTGTTATACCATTCGAGGCAAATATACTTTGCTGCTTCTCATGTTCTTATGATCATTATCTTTTTCCGCTTCATATTGGTCCATTTCAGTGCGAGAGGCAAACATATCCAATTAATCGTGCTATTTGTAGACGAATCTCCTTGAGCAAACTTTACCATGCAATTTATTAAAATTATTCATTCGAGCCTTAAAACGTTATAAGAAATACGTACTGCAGGCGTGATAATAAACTCAAGCGTTGTCAAATGACTGCACTGGCCACCTCCACATTTCTTTGACTTTATTGGGTGTTACGTAATCATCTGTGCCGATGATTTGTTTTTAAAAAAATATTTCAGTACAAATTAACGGAAGAAAATCTGTATACATTTGTTAGACTTTCAACGTACACTTGATTTGGTTACCCATTATCTTATTCCCTTCTACAATATTTAAAATACTGGCACCGCCAACAGATCACAAAATTCAGTAGCTTGAATTTATTTCTGAGTCTGTAAAACTCAGTGCAGACCTTCATCGGAAACGAGTGTTATTCGGGGAGGTATTGGATTAAACTCTCGGCTGAGAATATTCTGACCGAAGCTTACCGTAGTTTTTCTTAAACCTCTAGGCAAACATAGAATGCAATCGGCAATTAGTTAATTAGCTGATGTACGAGGCGCGTCCCAAAAGTAAGTTTCCCACTCGTCCCACAGCTAGCAAACCTTATATTGCGCGAAGCGACTGTGCGTACGTGATAGAGCAATGACGTAGCATGGCGCATGCACTAACGGTACTTCCCGCGTTCTCACAGTAGCATCGTGGAAGCTGTTGAAGATGGAGGTTCTTATTCCAGCTCCCGCCGACTGTGAAGTGCGGTCAGTGATAAAGTTTTTGAATGCACAGAGCATAGCGCCGATCGAAATTCATCGTCAGCTGTGCCGGGTCTATGG